TGGTTGTGTTGTCCCTTTCCTTAAATTTGTGTCCCTGGTCACTGATCTCTTCATTCAAGGGAAGTCGTTCCTTCCTGTCTATGCCACTCATGACTTTATACTTCTCAATCATGTACCTCCTCAGTCTTCTCAGCTTTCAAGAAAACAATCACAATCTATTCGATCTCTCTTCATCACTAAATTCTCCAGCACTGACAATGTCCTGGGTTAATCTCCTCTGCACTCTTTCCAGGAGTTATCACATCCGTCCAAAAAAGTGGCTTCCAGAACTGCACATAATACTTTAGCTGTGGTCTAACTAACGTTTTATTTGATTCCAACTTAACTTGTCTGCTCTTAAACTTAATGCCTCACTGATAAAGGCAAATACCCCAAATGCCTTCTTAAATACTTTATCTCCTGACCCACTAACCTTGAAGGACCGGTGAGAACATGTACACCAAGGTTCTTCTGATCCTCGGTGCTTCCCAGGATCCTAGTGTTCATCATGTAATCCTTGCCTTGTTGTCCTGCAAAATGCACACCTCACATTTATCAGACTGACTTCCAGTTGCCACAGGTCAGCGCATCTGTCCAACCCATCTATATCCCCCTGTAATCTCAAGCTATCTTCTTCATTATTTACCAACCAACACAATTTTTGTATTATCCACGCACTTGCTGATCAAGCCTCCTACGTTCAAGTCTAAATTGTTTATATTTACCATAAACAGTAAAGGGCCCAACAGTGATCACTGGAGAAGCCCACTGGACATGGGCTTCCAGTCACAGAAACATCCGTCGAACATCATCCTCTGCCCACTGCCACTCAGCCAATCCCAGATCCAATGAGCCAAATTCCATTGGATCCCATGGACTCTTAACTTTGCTTTCAGTCTCCCTCTGGAGATCTTATCAAAGTTTAATCTTATCAAAGGTGTAAGTAGACTACGTCAAATGCACTAACCTTATCTACATCAGATTTTGAATAGCCAATGAAAAAATATTCTCCTTAACTCCAGTTTTGCAAACATTATAATACTGCTCCCCAAGCTCACATCTAGGTCATTTATCAAAAATGAAGAGAGTAATGGATCCAAAAACAATCTTGGGGTAACAAAGGCAAACCACCTCTGTCTAAGAAAAACCTATCCACTACCAATAACCTGAGCCAATTTTGCATTCAATGTCTATCTAATTTTACCTTTATTCCATTGACTCCCATCTTAACACTTGTCTCACACTTTTTTGGTGCCTTCAAAAGTCATGTCAAAATTTACATTTATTTGAACAATCTGCTCTGTTACTCAAACTCCTTTGCCCAAAGGGTGGTGGGAATTTGGAACTCACTGCCTGTATGGATAGTAGAGGCAGAAACCCTCAAAATTTAAGTGGTATATAAATGTACATTTGCTATGCCAAATCTTGCAAGGCAATGGGCCAAGTGCTGGACAATGAGATTAAGACAGTCAGGTGCTTGCTTTTGAGCGTAATGGACATGATAGGCCAAAGGGCCTTTATCTGTGTCATAGATCACTGTGACTCTATGCTCAACTTGGTAAGCCAGACAATTTTTGCCTTTAACAAATTCATACTGGTTCTTCTTAATTATTTTATGCCTTCCCAAATGAAAATTTTTGCCTCTGATAGTTATTCCTAATCCCCAACCAACAATGAGCTGTCTGGTCCATACTTTAATGGGTATATCGCTCTTTACTTAAACTGTAGTTTACATTGGCAATCCTCCAGCCATCAAACACTATTCCAAAGGAAGAACTTTGCAAATATTACTCAAATCACCTCAGAGATGGAAGATGCTTTAAAATAAAACGGTTCTAATATTTTCTACAGAACCAATCTAGCCATTGTTAAATTAAAAAAAGCAGAAGTTGCTGGAAAAGCTCAGCAGTTCTGGCAGCATCTGTGAAGAAAAACATCAGAGTTAACATTTCGGGTCCGGTGACCATTCCTCAGAACTGAGTTTACAGCAACTTCTGTTTTTGTTCCTGATTTACAGCACCCGCAGTCCTTTCGGTTTTTATTTAGCCATTGTTAAAACTTGCTATGAATCAAATAGATGAGAGTTGGTGGCCATTACAAGAATTTAACTTAGCAGAATCAGAACAATTTTCCTACCTTATTGACAATACTATGTTCAGCTCTTCCACTGCTGTTTTTTAAGGACTGCGATTTAGAACAAGAATCATCCGAGCTTGCTTGTTCCTTTGCTAACCAGATAGAATGTGGAGAATTCACTGGACTGAGAGATTTATATAGAAGTAGGTTACAGTCTGTAGACTCTGTAACATGTTCTTCACCTTTGCCTTGTGATGCTCCAAGTTCTTTAGTTTTGCATTTATTCTTTTTATTGAAACGTAACTCCAAATTTATTGGGCTATTTATATTTTGAAGATCATTATCTAAGTATGTACTGGCGTTTGAGTTTTGAACCTTTTCTTTTTTGGACACCCATTGGTAATAATCTGTCATCTCAGAATGTGCATAACTGTTCTCATTCTGTTCAGTCGCTGTCTTTTTCAAATTTCTGAAAAATCAAAAGTTATGAACATTTTTCAGTTTAGTTCAGTGTCCTTATTCTTGGAACCTTATCAAAGAATAAGTGTAGAAAATGGAAGATATGCTAACTTGCTTTACAAATAATTTCAGATATGAATTACTCCCGAAAAGTAGTGACTGCTGCTTTGCAGAGGGCAACCTACTAACAGTTACCTTCAAATATCTGTCTTTGACCACACAACATAGTAGTAGTATGTTGGCTCCACAACAAAAGGAATCTACTTAAAATTACAGAATTTTAAAGCACAATATCCCTGTTATATATTTGAAATGGCTGTAATTACAGCCAACAGGAATATCTACACAAATCCAACCTACTAGTTAAAGATGACAATTGAAGATAAATGTGATTACTATTGAGGAAGGAAAAATGGATTGGAAATAGAACATAATATTCTAACCTCTCCAGTCCAGAATCCTTAGGATCAAGACATTTCCAGATTATAGAATGATCTACAATACCAAACCACAGTTGTGTGGAAACTAACAATAAATATTTTTTAAAGTTATAAATATTTACCTGAAGCAGCAAAGTGATAAAACATCACAAAGCAGAATTAAAAATGTTTTACATATTCAAATACTGCATATTGAACATCTGTGCTCCCAAAGTACTGTAGAGTATAATGCTATGAGTTGCTTACGTCTATTCAAAAAATGTCTGCACAATTTCCAAATAATGGATTTCCGAAATGGAGATGTTACAATATATTCTTATTCTGAATTTATTTAGATTTACCAAAGTGGTGCCAATACTGGTGAGTTCAAAAGCTTTTGCTCAATTTAGATATCCAGATTCAGGTTGAACTGGATATAACGCAGTAAGCATGTAGCAAAGTTACATTGCCTTAGACCAGTTTCAAATTCTATATGCAACAGAAATTGAACTGGGTTACATCTGTCCAGGCTCATTTACTGTTTTTATACCTACCAGGAAGGGGATACCTTGATCCTAAAAGGAATGAAAGGATTAGCACCATCCAAACTACCAAAGTTGAACTGGGAAAGTAAGCAATGCTGTTAAGAATGCTAAGAACCCCACCAGAAAAGGTAGAAATCATTGTAAAATAAGACCAGAATCAAAGCCATAACAAATATTACCAAACAAAAGCATTCTTATGCTAACCTTTGTCAGTCTTCTACTCACGGTCCACTAATCTAACTCAATTCTTCCCTGCATTTCTCAGCCAAATTTCAAAAAGTCTTCCGAAAGCTATTTTCAGAAAACTTCTGACAAGTTTTAACATTGGCCATTAAAGGTCAAGGTAAGGAGTTGTTGGGATGTTGTAAAAGATAGTTTTTCTGCTTGGCCTAAGAGGAAACACAATTTGGTGGCAATGTGAAAATTTGCTTGAAAATGGTACAAAGCTGGAAAGCTGAATGAATAAATCAAAGACACTAAAGAACTAATGGTTTTCTCAGAAGTGGTCAAACCATAAACTGTAGTGTTATTGGATTGTCTGGATTCCATAAACATGTTGTAGAATCAAGTTCATCTCCAGAAATTCAACACAAAATTCAAGGCTGGAACTGCATTGTAATATTGAGGAAGTAGGGCACAGTTGGAGGAGTTGCCTTTCAGATATAAAGTTAAACTACTTAAACAGAACTCCTATCTGCCCCCTCTTCCTCAGATCATGACAGTCCTGATGGTGCAGTTTTGCAGTCTTCCTTTTCAAATGATGAACCTGTTAACACCAGATTGTTTTGCCTCTTCTGGGAAACGCCTATTCTTTAGCATCAGAAACAAAGTCCTGTTCGACAGAGCTGCTGGTCAGTCTAATTGAGCAGCTTCTCTGCCATCCCAGCAGTGCTAGAAGACAATCATGGTCATTGATAAGGTCAAAAGCAGTGCCAGAGAAGTTACAAAAACAAAGTTGCTGGAGAAGCTCAGCAGGTCTGGCAGCATCTGTGAAGGAAAAAACAGAGTTAACGTTTCGGGTTTGGTGACCCTTCCTCAGAACGGAGGAGTTAAATGGATGCTGGTAAGTCAAGGGATTTTATATGTCTGTGTGTGAGGCAGAGGGGAGAGGGAGCAAGAGAAAGCAGACAGCTGAGAGATGCCAATGATAGCACTGGAGAGAGATGGATTAGAAAGACAGGTATGGGCATTCTCCACCATCTTGGAGGGGGAGGGAAAGTGATGCTGCCCCTCAGCCACCCACACTAAAGGAGGCACCTTTCCTTGCTGCCCTGCCAGTAGTTCATGAAAACTCCCAGATTACTCACTGTGCTCCCACGATCAACCACAGACCAAAAAATTGCAATGGTGGTAAAATGAGACACTTGAGTGCAAGGTATCTGTTCAATATGGGGAGGATTGGTTGGTCCCTGCCAGCTACTTATCCAGTCTCCAACCCTCATTAACCTAAATTAGTTTTTGGACCTCAATAATACTAATTTAAAATAGTCTCTTTCAGTGTTAAATCAAATTATGGCTTTGACCTTTTCTATGTCTAATTTGTCTAGTCCTATAATGAACACCTCCATTCTCTTGCCCCCAAACAATTCTGGTCTCTGATGCAACCTCACACTCTTCTCTTTGCCATGAACAGCTGTGCCTTCAGCCAACAAAATCTCATGCTCCCTTTCCTAAACCTTTAGCCATTTCCAATGCCACCTCTTCTTTCAAGGTCCTTCTTAAATCCCACCATTTCAATTAAACATCTAGCTACCCCTTCTAATTTCTCCTTTGATTTGATTTGTTTTGATTACAACATTGTTAAACACAATGACACTTACACAAACATTACAGGCACTAAGAAGTGGAAGTCTTTGCTTTCAAAGGAGGAAATTTTTGGCTCATACTATAAATGTTTTAGTTTCAAAGAGAATATTCACTTTTTGTGTGACAAAATGCTATCATTAGAGGATCCTCTATACTGTTAGCTCAAAAAGATCCTAGCTCACCAGCATTTTTTTAAAGTTCATTTCTGATCAACAGTGCTAAGATGAGAGACTACCATGTCTTTAATACAACTATTACCTGATTTTATCATTCTTCCTCCATTCATTCAAAAGTGCTATATCCTGAATGGAAGTGGAAAAAACAAGGATGAACAAAAATAAGATGAATTTCAGGTCAATAACTTAAACCAAGCAACACAATTCAAAATATTCAGCTTTTTATTTAGAAACACATCTACACATATCTGTCAACACATAAGAATCTCAAGTAAGTTCACAAACTGTTTAAAAATCTCTGGCTTTTAAATTACAATGCTTTGAAAACCCTTATTAGCATATTGTACTACTTTGGTTATAATCATTATGCCTGCAACTCTTTTTTTCTTAAAAGCTGCAACATGTATACTTAATTTGATCAATGCAGTGGAAACATTAATTTCAGCTGATATGTATCACCACAGATAAACTTAATGCAATTTTAAACTGTAGAACATCAATGCTGCTACTTTGATTGCATAAAATTGTTTTAAATATCAGCTTGAAAGTGACGCTGTTTTTCAAAATTTGTTGCAGTGAAATTTTAAAGAATATTGAGACAAATTTGTATACTAGCACAAAACACAAAAAGTGAATCAAATTTCTACAGTACCATTTATATCACAGCAGCAGAGAAGGCAACAAAGGAAATTGGAGGTTGACAGTTTCTATTTGTCCACAGTAGTGCATCAAGAAAATAAACTTTATTTTAAACAATAATTGTTTTAGGAGGATGGTTTTATTTTTGACAGTAGTTTAAAAGGCAGTTTTGTACAAATTAAGGTTTCTAATCATATCCCTTTAAATAAGCTGTAAGGTATTTGACAGAAGGTCTTCCTTAAATTGTCTCACCTTCCCACTGAGACATCCCTTACTATGAAACACTGCCTCATAACAATGTACTCAGCCATGCCCACCGTGCTCCTGTCCAAGGGGTCTGTCCTCTCCAAAGAGAGCTCCTCAGCTATCAGCTGCAGTGGTGTCAGTTTCACCTTCTGGACATCACTCAGGAGGCATTCAAATCCACAAATATCAAAGGCTTAGCCCAAGTGCTACACTCACAGTTCTGGCACCAACACTCGCTGTTGACCGTACAATGACGTTACTAACAATGGATGAAATGTTTTACTGGCTCCTTTTTAATGCATTGTCGTGAGGATTATACAGTGAAGTAATTACTTGACTAAATGTAAAATTCACTTCAATTGGAAATTAAGCATATACAAATTCTATTTAGTTTAACTTGCAAAGAAATATTTTAAATACCTTAGTTTTCCCTGCTTTCTTCCTGGCTCCAACTGTTTCATCCTGTTGGAGATTTAAGAATACAATTTAGTAAACTCAGAAGGAAAAAGATGATTAATGTTCAAATAACAATACATTTTAGACTGCATGTGAGTACAAGTGTACTTTGAGTCAAGGCATGAGATTTTTTTTTTTTTTAAATTTCACCACTTTATGACATTTGGATTTTAAACTGGCATATTGTGGATTTTCTGCAAAAGGGATTTAATGAAGAACCTGTAGATATTTCTGTAGCCATCGTGATTCCTTTTAAAACATAGCATTGGAGAGAGACCTCCTGCCGGATAATGGGGGTTTGATAACATTGGGAGAGTTTACCAGAGAACAAAGTAAACAGCGTAGTGCATTAGACTTTCAGATAGTAGATTTTGGAATTTTGGGGGAAACACACATAGCTTCGAAAATAAGTTTTTTAGTTTCAGCTTGGACAGCTTGCATAAATCTTGGCTGAAGCTGGGCGTGTTAAAATACATACTCCTGAGAAAGGGAGATAGTTTAGAACTGTTAAGAAAGAGGTTCTCAGGATAAGGAGTTTAGTTCAGAACTTTCAGACCAGAATGTTTGGTTAAAACTACGAAGGAGGTTATTTGAAGCTGAGAAAATCTAAGCTCAGTTAAATGAAGTCTCCAGGAACAGGCCATCAGATTTTCAACCATAAAATTGAATCCGCAGTTAAATTCAGCTCTAAGGTGTGAAAGAGAAGGAAATTCTTCCATACAGGAGTGTTGTTGAGATTAATAGGACTGTATTCCACCGTGTGCTTTTACCTTTCTGTTATACATTAATAACTTAATTTATTCTATTTTATCTTCACCTCTTTTGCATAATAAACTCCAGGCTTTTATTGCTCAACCTGAATCTAAAGCAATGATTGTCTGCATTTCAGCAAAAGACCATCTTGTTAAACATGTAAAACAAAAATTACAAAATATTACCCATCAAGCCAAATTTCAGTCTGAGATCCGACTTATCCAGTAAGAACATAACTGGGATCATAACAGTACAATCAACTGGAACCGCACCAGCAAGTACTCTAATGCTATGTGCCAATAGAATGTGAGCTATTGGTTTTTGCCGGGTGTATGGGAATCTTTTTTGATTCAATTCAGAGTAAATGATTGAACGTGCCACAGGGAAAAAAACAAAAATCTTGACTGCATTGTTACTTAGCAAGGCCCATAATTTACAATTAAATAAATCAATATAATTTTCTTCCAGCATCTCCATAGGGAAACATTTCCACAGATTGCTGATCTGCAGAAATGATGTTTTCACAGATTATGTTTTGAATTTAACCTGGCTTCAATAGTAGACCAAGTCCTCTGGTTCAATAGTTCTGAACAAAGTGAAAATGTTGATCATAGAATTCTAAAAGAAAACGTAGACTAAAAACTGCAAAGTACCTATAAAACATATTTTCTAATGAGACAGTGTCTACTTTACAGTCACTTCAATTTACATAATCTCTCCTCCTAGTCCAATGATACAGTCAATCAAGTATCAGATGATCCTAATGTTTCCTTCTGTGGCTCAACATCAATTCTGGTATGACTTTGTTCGGTGAGGATCCTTGGGATAAAGTGTGGCTACGTTAAGGGCATATCACAAGTTGAAGTTCTCTTAAAATAATAATAGCAAGATAATAAATTATGCAATCTAACAGGCAATAAACAGAAATTTGCTAAAACTTGCAGATAATGACAGTCAAGCACAGCTAACATTCCTAGGATGACTTGGGCATGTTTCCATTTTCATTGTGAGTTATCAAGAGAAGACAATGTTTGATACAGGTCCACAGACTCACTGCTGAGGAATAATATACATTTCACTCACACTGAAGCCACCCAAAAAATGCACTAATTTTTCCTAATCTCCTCTGCTACAAAAGGAACAAGTGCAAAAAGAGAGTTTTGAACTGCAACAATCTCGTGCTCAATCGATATCCACTGGTATCATTTTCTACTGGAAGAAGTAGATTGTAACAGTTGAAATAAACTTGGATATGAATCTCAAGTAAATAATAGCATGAATGATCAGAGAACTGCCTGCATGTGAAACAATGTTTGGTAGCTCCATTTGCAAAGCAGGAACCTCAATATTTTAGTTTATAGAATGAGGGTTACAACTGTCATTGTTTTGAGCAATATTTTCAGGGTTAAACAATTTTCTTAAGCATTACATTTGACAAATTGGATTCATAAGCATCATCTCGTGCGTGGCTGCATGCTTTGTGAATACTTTTTGAAGTGATTAAGGGTAACCTCTCCCTTCTAATAACGAAAGCCCCATTACTCTTTCTACAAATCCGCTATCCTCAACGCTAGATTATATCCAATTCACTTGCAATTGTATACAACATCAAATCTGAATTTGAATAAGGATTCCTTTTTAATGGTATGGTTTTCCTAAGTTCTACAAACAACAAATCACCAAAAAACTTGCTTTTGTGATGTTCATGGAGTGTTGAATTCTGGCCATGGAAGAGTACCGCTCTTGTGACCATTATCAAAAAAAAATTTTGCACCTACCTGAAGAGGATAATGGGCCTCAGTTCCATATCTCACTTGCATTTGTATAGCACAATTAATACAATAAAATTTCTCAAGGTGCCAGAATTGGAAGAGCACAGATATATTGGATGATTGTGCTGTTCAAAGTAATTACAGGGATAGGGACAGGGACAGACCGTGGCGGGATTTGAAAACAAGCATGAGAATCGCAAAATCAGGAGCCAGTCAGCTAGGAGAGGCCCATCAAAAATGAAAGGAACTTGTTGAGAGTTTGGATATGGACATCAGAATTTTATGTGACCTCAAATATACTCTAACTAAAAGTTCACTAACACACATAGTACAATATATTCTGCAATAGCTTAAATTCTGTGTTCATGGGAGTGGGCATGAAAACACAAACTTCTATGAAGCTAAAGTACCATCAAAAAAGTTAAGCTACCTCAATTTAAAGAATATGTGTGGCAATTGAGTTGACTTAAGTTACTTGCTTGCAAATTAATTTCATGCATTATGTCTGACCAAATAAAGCACACACTATTGAAGTATAATTGGTAACATTTCTGATTACTCAAAATTCCTTGCTAAGAGAGAAATTTGAAACATTCTCACAATGAAACGATGACAACATAGTCACTATACCTTCATAACATTCTGGTCAGGTTTTCGGTTCGAAATATCTGTTTTAGAAAAAAAAAATTTCATAAATTTGGTATGCTATTGTTCTTCTTCTTCCAGTTGATTTGTTAAAGAAATAATTGGACAATACTTTCCTTATACAGATTCACTCACTCAAATACAGCAGCCTCAGGGCCAAGGCTGTGCCAGATTTTGGAACTTACCAGTTTTCAGGGAAAAATAAAATCAGCTTGTATTATTTCAAATTGGAACGATTTAATCCAGAGTATACCAACAGATAAGACTATAATGCACTTTAGGTTAATGGTCATGTCAATGCCGATGTTAAGTCCTTATTTCACGCATTGGATTTAATTGCCTTCTAACCTCTCTAAATCACCACAACCCATTTAAAATTGAAGGAGATCAATCAATCAAAAGGTCCTGCTTTCAAAGAATATAGTTTTAGGAAAGCCAGATTTAATAACATCGCTCCTGTAATTTCAAAATGGGCTATTCTTATTTTGAAGATAACACAGTGTGGAGCTGGAAGAACACAGCAGGCCAGGCAGCCATCAGAGGAGCAAGAAAGTTGACGTTGAGCTGGGACCCTCCTTCAAAAAAAAAAATTTTAAATTGAGAATTTTTTTCAAATTCACATTTTTGTGACACAAACCCATTTGCTTTTAAAATGACGTTGTATAAGGTAGTAAGGAACTTTTGTTGAGGCAGTGCCTTTTCTCAGAATCTCAAGCTGATAACTATAGAAAAAGCACAACAGCAGTTAAAATGCTCACCAGTTTGTTCTTGGTGGATATTGGACAGTTGTTTTCCTGTATTTTGATACTTCCTTTCTTTTTTCCTGGTAATCTTCTTTAAGTTAAAACTAATGAGATATAATCCATATGTTATCTTCAGAATTCTTAAATTTCCTTAACAATGCACATACTGATTTGTTGTTTAGAACAATTCTCCAACCATTGTTGAGAAGCATAAAGATAAACAGCAAATTAAAGCAAATTACTATTACAAAACAGAAAAAAAACTCGCATCCATCAATGCCACAGATAAATCCACAAATATTAAGCGGCATCTGTACTGAAGGCAATCTAGTACTTTAAACAGCAATATTTTTTATGCTATCACATCATATAGTTACATGGCAAGCTCAATTTAGGAAACAGTATCCAAAGTATAGGAAAATGTTTGCAATGTAAATAAGGAACTATTTTATTGATTCACTTTCAAAAAGTCTTAATTACACAAAATTAAATACTGAAGAATTTACTAAGTGCTTCTAAAAATACTAAATTCAGAAATAAAATGTTGGCTCTTAAAGTTTTACACAACTGATCTGTGAATGCTATTTTTTCCATTTGGATTCAGCACTGAATATTGATGGCCATGAAAAAAAAACTTTTCCTCAACTGTGGAAAAAAATGCAGCAATGTTTTTGTTTGGATTATGCTTGGTACAACAATGTGGATTGTCTAAAAGTAGAAGGCATCACTGATTATAAATCCATAGATCAGAAACATGAAGTAATTTTAGAGTAATGAATACACATAGAAGATACTGGGATATTGAAATAAATTAGCTTATTTTCTAGAGAGTGATCTTCCTGCAGAATATTAGTACAGTGCTAGGGGAAAGAGCAATGGTGCTTAAGGAGGGGGCTTGGACAGTTGGAGAGAAGGTGATGGTTTTGGAGGATTAGGACACTGCATCTGGGATGGGGTCAGCAATGGGAAGGGAGCCCCATTGTTGGCGATGTATGAAAAGTCAAGGTGGTGGATGAAAATATGGTTGGGATAAATGCAAGGACGAAAGAAATTCTACATTTATTTTTCAATCAGATTACTTACCTCCATTAGCAATAGGAATGGGCCATTCAACCCCTCAAACCTGTTCAGCTATTCAAGAATATCACAGCTGGTTTGCACCTCAACTCCATCCAGCTGCCATGGTTCCATATCCTTCAATACAGTTATCTAGAGTGATGTATATTTTTGGAATACTCTAAACTTCTGTCATGTAGATGGAGTACATCTTTAGCAAGTTTTTTCCACAGAAATGTCAGCTTTTGACCTGCTCTTATAGCCTCTGTATTTAAGCTGCTGGTCCAATTTAGTTTTCAGAAAATGTTAGGATATTGATATTGGAGAATTTAAAACTTAATGTCATGGGGAGATGGCCTGATTTGCTTTTGTTTGAAAAGACCATTGTCTAGGACTTGTGTGGCTTGAATGATGCTTGTCACTAATCAGCCCAAGCTTGAAAGTTGTCACAGACTTGTTACAAATGAATGCTGATTGCTTCAGTCATGACAGAATCATGAATGGTGCTGAACAGTGTGCAGCCATCATCAAATATTCCTCTTTATGGCACAGGGAAGATCACTGATGGAGTCACTGGGCCTAGGATGCCACCCTGAGAAGCTCATGCAATGATGTCCTGGGACTGAGATAACTGACTTCCAACGACCACAACCATTTTGCATTGTACCATAAAAGACTCAAACCGAAGAGTTTACCCCAACAAATGCCTAAGTTCACCAGTTTTGCTGGGGCTCCTTGATGCCACGCTTAGTTTCAACATCTTTATGTCAAGAACAATCACCTTCAACTAACCTCATGTTTTCAGATTTTTGTCCATGTTTATTCCAAGGCTGTAATGAGATCAGGAGCTGAATGACTCGGACAATATCTAAACTGACTGCCAGTAAACAGCTTAGTGGTAATTAGCATGCTCAACACCAACGTCCATCACCGTGCTGATGATCAAGCGTAAACTGAATTGATCAATTTAGATTGTCCTTTTTGTGAACAGGACCTAACAGGGCAATCTTCCATATTGCCAGATAGGTGCCACTTAGTTTATATTATCCACCATAGTTTTATTACACCACTTGGCTAGTTCTGGAGCACAAGTCCTCAGTACTAATGCTGGAACAAAGTGAGGAACTACAGTCTTTGCTGTATCTCATGCCTTCAGCCATTCCTTGACAATGTGTGGAATAAAATGCATTAGCTGAAAGCTGCTATCTGTGATTTTAGTATGAAGCAGTGACGGATCATCCAGGGCACTTCTTCCTGTGATGGGTGCGCGCAGTTCAGTCTTCCCTTCTACACTGATGTGCTGGAGTTTCCCCATGGTTGAGGATAAGACTGCTGAGATCAGATCTAATTCTTTGGTTGAGGGATTACTTCGCTCTGACAACTGAATGCTGCTTCAATTGTTTGTCATGCATGTTGTCACCTTAATGTTAAGCATGTCTGGTGCTCTCATGGCATGCCTTCTTCACACTTCATTGAAAGAGGATTGATCTCCAGGTCTGATAGTAATGGTGCAGTGAGGTATATGTGACATGTTCTAGAGCCATATGTTATAGATTGTGGTTAAATATAATTGCTGATGGCCCACAGCTCTTCATGGAAGCCCAGTTTTGAATTGCTAGATCTGTTTGAAACCTATTCCCTTTAGTGTAATAGCATTACCAGTCAAACAATGGAGGGCATCCTCAATATGAAGAAGCAACTTCATTTGTGCAAGGCCTGTACGGTGGTCACTCCAACCAATACTGTCATGGACAGATCCATCTGCAGCAGGAAGACTGGTGAGGATAAGGTCAAGGAAGTTTCTCCTACTTGCTGATTTCCTTACTAACTGCGCAGATCCAGATTAGCATCCAAATTCTTCATGACTCAAACAAACTGGTGAGTCGTGGTGCTACAAATTCAGTTTGGCGATAGGCATTGAGGTCCCCATGTAGAGGACATTCTATGCTTTGGCCATATTCAATGATTCTTCCAAGTGTGCTCAAAGTAAAAGAGTACTGATTCGTCAGCTGAGCAGTAGGTAGCAACCAGCAGGAGGGTTCCCTAACCATATCTGAACTGATGCTACGAGACTTCATGAGGTTTGGAGTCAAGGTTGAGGACTCCCAGGGAATCTCCTTTCTGACTGTATGCCACTGTGCTGCCATTACTTTGGGAGATCTCTCCAGCCAATGGAATAGAACATATGCAGGGATAGTGACCACAATGTTGGGGACGTTGTCTGTGAATCCTATCTTGTTCCTATTCCTTGACTAGTCTGTAGGATACCTCTTCCAATTTTGACATAAGCATCTAGATATTACGAAGGAGAATTTTGTAGGGTCAATATCTCCAGGCTTGACTGGTACTCAACAAAATGTTGACATATTTCGCATCTTTAGATGTCCACTTTTATCAAGGTTCATGTTTCAGCCTCTTCCAACATAGCACCTCAAATCACAAGCTTGATAATTATTTTCTCAAAACCTGTCTACTTTCACTCATCCTAATGTAGAACAATTCATGTTCATTTCTATTCCAGCTTTGATCTTTACATACCAGGAAGAATCAACTTCTGCGAAGATGCCTCCTGGTTCTTAATTGTTCCAACTGTTAAGCATTTCTCTCGTCCTCTATTTCCTCATTATTTCTTCCAATCTTAATAATTTTCCTCCTTCTTGCATTAATTTTCATAGTGAACTTTCAGCACTTCATTCATTCTATCCACTGGTACCTGTAATCATCTATTGTACTATTCATGATGGCTTGGTTGCGTGCAAATCTCAATATCTTCATTAACTGACATCCAACTTTGATGTATTTGTGTACTTTTAATGATTCTCTTATTATGGCTAGACTAGGAATTGTGTAATGTGGTGAGGAACAGGATGGAGTGATTCAGCTAGAGCCATTATATCAGCAATTAAGTTCTCAGAATTGTAGAAGAGGAAAGATTGTTTTCTTAATGTTATCATTGAAAGGCAATGAGCTTGGATTGGTCATATTCTAAGGCACGAGAACTTGATTGAGGTAGTTACTGAAGAAAATGCAGAATGAGAGGAAGAATAAAAATATTACACAACTTGAAAATGAAAATGGGAGACATGTACAAGCAACTGAAAAGAAAAACACTAGTCCACAAGGAGTGGAGAAACTCAGCACGTCTAGCAGCATCTGTAGAGAGAAAACAGAGTTAATGTTTCAAATCCAAGCAATTTCTGTTTTTGCGTGTTTCAGATCTCCAATATCCACACTTCATTGCTTTAAAAAGGACTGAAGAGATTAAAAGAGGCCCAGGCTTTAGGCCAATCACTACTAATGACATATTATTAATGCATTTCCCATACAATAAGAGTCTGGCAAAGGAATTTTCAGCATAATCTGAAATAAAATGCTGCAATGCAAAACAGCAATCTTGAACATACAGCCTGATGTGGTTTCTGATCCAATTTCTTGGTCGGAAATGCACATATCTTCTCTACAGAATACAACAGGAAAGGGATAATTCCACGATTCATTTTGACTGTGCCAAGAAGATATATTTTGTGAAGTGAAGATAGCTGAGAAATGACACAAATGCATCGTCCACAGAATTGTTCAATTATCCTTTCAGGTTAGAATGAAATTATGGAGTATTTTCTAGAGTGTGGAATCATCCAAAGACCAGTACAGCGCAGGAACGGCCTCCTCAGTCCACCTGCACCGGCACATGATGCATTTTCTAAAGTAAAAACCTTATGCCTTTATGTAGCCCATATCCTTCTATTCCATGCCTATTCACATATCTGTCAAGATGTCTCTTAAGCATTGCTATTGCATCCGCTTCTACTACCTCCTCTGGCAGCACATTCCAAGCACTTGCCACCCTCTGTATAAAAACTTTGCCTCACATCTCATTTAAATGTTCCCCCTTTTACCTTAAACCTATGCCCCCGATATTTCTATCCTGGGGGAAAAAAGACCTTGACTATCCATTCCATCTATGCCGCTTACAATTTTGTAAGCCTCTATCAGGTTGCCCCTCAGCCTCTGACATTCAGTTTGTCCAATCATTCCTCAGGTATTTATCTGGAAGCTCATATTGCTGCTGCTGCCACAGTTCTGAGTGCACAATGATTACATATCATTGTAATTAACATGAAAGCCAAGCTTCTCAGATCAAAAGTTTTAGGCAAACAGTAAGAGGTTGGCTCAAACACAAGTAATACTTGTGAGGTGGTCAAATCCACAGGAACTGCCAATAATGACACACCTCAGTCGTTGCTGGTCCTAGTACTGAACTCAGCCCAAAACTGTCACTCCCGGCTGTTTCTGACACTTTGAACGAGAAAAAAACAATTATGAAGACAACTCACTAAACTATTCTTGCCAACCACACTCCCAAAACTACAATGAGGTATATGAAAAATTAAGAATTTTTGGGTTATCTTAATATGGTAGATTGTATCTAGCAATATATTTGATAAGTCAACTCCTTTTCTTTCTTCCTTCTGCATAGAGTACATAGACAGATAGACACAGGAAAGCATAAAACTAATAAAAATAAGTAAAATTGAAACCGGTTAACTGAACGTGCCTGCTGGATGCCGCCTTAGTTTCTTGGTTGTAACTTGTTTTATTTCTTTTTGGCTTTAAAAATTCGATCTGTAACAGATGTAGAAAGAACATGTGAAACTATGTAAATGATTGCTAATTTATTCTTACATAGTAACATTGAAAATAGAAGGAGTAGATCATTGTTTTAATATAAAAACCAAAAGAACTGTGGATGCTGTAAATCAGGAACAAAAACAAAGTTGCTGGAAAAGCTCAGCAAATCTGGCAGCATGTGAAGAAATAGTTCTGAGTTCTGAGGAAGGGTCACCAGATCCGAAACGTTAACTCTTTTTTTCCTTCACAGATGCTGCCAGACGTGCTTAGCTTTTCCAGCAACTTTGTTTTTGTTCATTGTTTTTATATAGTTAGCAATTCCAAATCTTTTATCCAAACATATCTGGTTACTGTCACAGTTGAGAGCCGATGCATTTTCCACTTACAGCCAAGAGGCTGCGGAGCTACAGACAGGTCTTTACAAGACGAGAGAATGAGAACATATTTTTTTCAGGCATTATACCACCTATCAGTGACTGAATCACAAACAAACGTACAATAATCTGTAGGGTTTGCGTAATATATTCTGCACAGCATGATCAACAGTGTCTAAACTATCACTGTGATCTTTTCAGCTGGTTTGATTGAAGAATTTTTCTTTTAATTGAACAAGTTCAAACCACTGCTCTTTATTATCGTTACAACTGCTTTACAGTAGTCAATGTTAAATGGCAGTTCGCAGCACTTAAGGAAAAGTCAACTTAAAATAGCGACATCGATCGCCTCAACCTCTCACCCACTCCAACCTCTTCCCCACAGAACGTGCTGCCCTCCGCTCCAATCCCAACCTCACCATAAAACCCGCGGACAAGGGAGGCACAGTTGTAGTATGGCGCACTGACCTCTACATCGCCAAGGCCAGGCGCCAACTCTACGACACCTCCTCCTACCACCTCATTGATCATGACCCCACCCCCAACCACCAAAACATCATCTCCCAAACCATCCACAACCTCATCACCTCAGGTGACCTCCCATCCACAGCCTCCAACCTCATCGATCCCCAGCCCCGCACCGCCCGTTTCTATCTCCTTCCCAAAATCCACAAACCTGACTGCCCTGGTCGACCCATTGTCTCCGCCTGCTCCTGCCCCACCGAACTCATCTCCACTTATCTCAACTCCATTTTCTCCCCCTTAGTCCAGGAACTCCCCACCTATATCTGTGACACCAACCACGCCCTCCAACTCCTCCAGAACCTCCGATTCCCTGGTCCCCAACACCTCTTCTTTACCATGGACGTCCAGTCCCTATACACCTGCATTCCCCATGCAGATGGCCTAAAGGCCCTCTGCTTCTTCCTGTCCCGCAGGCCCGACCAGTCCCCCTCCACTGACACCATCATCCACTTAGCTGAACTCGTCCTCACCCTTAACAACAACTCCTTCAATTCCTCCTACTTCCTACAAAGGGGGTGGCCATGGATACCCGCATGGCCCCAAGCTATGCCTGCCTCTTTGTAGGATACGTGGAACAATCCCTCTTCTGAAGCTACACTGGCCCTATCCCCCACCTCTTCACCCATTACATCGATGACTGTATTGGCGCCGCCTCGTGCTCCCACAAGGAGCTCGAACAGTTCATCCACTTTCCACCCCAACCTTAAGTTCACCTGGACCGTCTCCGATGCCTCTTTCTCCTTCCTGGACCTCTCTATTTCCACCTCTGGCAACCACCTGGAAACCGATATTCATTTCAAGCCTACCGACTCCCACAGCTAACTAGAGTACACCTCCTCTCACCCACCTTCCTGCAAAAAGGCCATCCCCTATTCCCAATTCCTTCGCCTCTGCCGCATCTGCTTCCGAGATGAGGCATTCCACTCCCGGGCATCACAGATGTCCTCGTTTTTCAAGGATCGCAACTTCCCTCCACAGTGGTCGAAAACGCCCTGGACCGTGTCTATCACATTTCCCGCAACTCATCCCTCACACCCCCTCCACGCAATAACAACCAAAACAGAATCCCTCTCATCCTCACGTACCACCCCACCAACCTCCAGATCCAATGCAGCATCCTCCGACACTTCCACCATTTGCAATCCAACCCCACCAAAGACATATTTCCCTCCCCACCCTTATCTGCTTTCCGGAGGGACCACTCTCTCCACGACTCCCTTGTCCGCTCCACGCTCCACACTCCCCACCAGCCCCACCACCCCCAGCACTTTTCCCTGCAACCGCAGGAAGTGCTACACCTGGCCCTACACCTCCCTCCTCACCCCAATCCCAGGTCCTAAGAAGACCTTCCATATCAAACAGATGTTCACCTGCACATCTGCTAATGTGGTATACTGTATCCACTGCTCCCGTTGTGGCCTCCTCTACATCGGGGAAACCAAACGGAGGCTTTGTGGAACACCTACGATTGGTTCGCAACAAACAACTGTGACTCCCATTCCTCAGAAGACATGTCCATCCTGGGCCTCCTGCAGTGTCACAACGATGCCATCCGAAGGTTGCAGGAACAGCATCTCATATATCCCCTCCCTAACTCCCCACCTACACTCACCTTTACTGGCTCCACCCCCGCCTCTTTGACCTGTCTGTCTCCTTTCCATCTATTTTCTCCTTTATCCATTTTCTATCCGCCTCCCCCTTTCTCCCTATTTATTTCAGAATCCCCTTCCCCTCCCCCATTTGTGAAGAAGGGCCTAGATCCGAAACGTCAGCTTTCCTGCTCGGCCTGCCGTGTTCATCCAGCTCTACACCTTGTTATCTCAGATTCTCCAGCACGGCAGTTCCTACTATCTCCTTAAAATATGACTTACTGTTTTTTGTTGAGAGTCCTGAAAAATGTCCACTTTCCAGATGCACCCTATACAGTCTGGGGTAAGACAGCCCAAACCCAAAATATCCTGAAAGTTGAGAGAGAGAAAAATAAATAAATAAATAAATCACACATGGAAAACTGTGCAACCTGCATTTGATTTAATTATTAAATCACATCAGGAAATAAGGATATATAGTCATAGTCATACAGTACGGAAACAGACCCTTCGGTCCAACTTGCCCGTGCCTACCAGACATCCCAATCTGACCCACACCTAATTTGCCAGTATTTGGTCCATATCTCTGTAAACGTTTCCATTCATATACCAATCCAGATTCCCTTCAAATGTTGTAACCACCCAGCTCCACCATTTCCTCTAGCAGTCTGCTTCATACATGCACCCTCTGCATGAAAAAGTTACCCCTTCGGTTTCTTTTTAAATCTTTCCGCTCCGTCCTCAAACATACACCCTCTAGTTTTGGATACTCACCTTATCCATGCCCCTCATGATTTTATAAACTTCTATAAGGTCACTCCTCAGCCTCCGTCGCTCGAGGGAAAAAAGCACCAGCCTATTCAACTTCTTCCTATAACTCAAATCTGCATCCAAGTATTAAACACTCACGTTCACAAAAAGAATGTAAGAAATATTACAATACAAACTTTTTCTACTCTATCTTGGAGCTCTTTAATTTTGCACTGTCTCCAGCAGTATAAGTGGTACTCAGTACGGCAATCGTAGTTGCAGTGCACTCGAACAAACCCCTGCAAATATAGAAAGGTGAATTGTTAAGTTCCACAATCTGCAGAAAAGCACCGCGGTAGACCAAAATAATTTAAATCTGTCAGCATGAAAAATTTAATCTAGAGTACAGAACTGGATTACTTGTTAATTACAGAAATAATCCAAACATCATAATAATGTAGAATGTAAAAACAAGAGTATATAAATTATAGCAACATAACAGTTCATAGACACTGTAGATTTGGATGACATTTCATGGAGAACTGTTCCTAGCTCAATAATTTGAAAAGACATCTTGCTCTGCAAGTCCATCTATGTGTACCCCATTCCCTCTTGATTCCAAAGTTATCTGTAATTGCAGGCACATGGCATGAACAATGGATAATTCAAACAAATATAGAAACTACTGAGAGGCTGAGGTAAATGTTCAGAGGTTCTAGATAACATCTATCTTGGTCTCAGAGTACATGATAGGAATGCTGGGTACTAAAAGTGGAAATTTACTCTTTTGTTCTCTAACATCGATATCTTTAAATGACCCCAGAAGGGTAATCAATAATTGGTAACACATCCCATGAAAAAAAATAAATGATAAAGAAACGTCAACGCACTGTGCAATATGTTAATGAACTACACTATGCCAAATGTGTGCTTTATCAGGTGGAAGCACATAAATATAGTCTAAATGTCCCAATTACTGATCATTTACTATTGATCCTTCCTGTCAAGCGTGTTTGTGTAGCCATCAAGTGAGGATTTAGTACTTGGCTGTGACGCCCTCAATGCTGGAGTTGTTTATATATGAAGAATGGTCATAAGGGCAAAGTACCAAAAGACAGCCAGCATCTAAAGAAAGGGAAAAGGAGCTGCTTTGTTATCAAGGGAAAGAGAAACTATGTCAAAAAATACAAAATGCAATTTGACATTTTGCCAGATGTGTTATTTTCTGTTTCAAACTGCAAGACAAGTAGAAAAGCTACAAATTTTGAATCTGCAGTGAAGATTATCAGATAATCACATAGTCATAGTCATAGACATAGAGCTGTACAGCATGGAAACAGACCCTTCGGTCCAACTCATGCATGCCGACTAGCTATCCTAAATTAAACTAGTCCCATTTGCCAGCATATGGCCCTTATCCCTCTAAACCCTTCCTATTCACGTACCCATCCAGATGCCTTTTAAAGGACATGCTGAAGTTGGCTCAGGATTTTCTTCACACGAAGAAAGAAATGTGTCAAAATTTTGTCTAGAATTGAAAACTACCCTCTTGGAGATTCAATCTAAATCAATGTTGCGCATTTGCCTTTGGATAGCAAAACTGCAAATTATTATAATTACAAAAACATTAACAAATCTAAATTCATAATTTAGTTCAAGTAATGTTGAGTGTATCGTTCTACTGAAAATGTGAAAGGTACTGTTTTAATGCTACAAATTAATACCTCACAAAACAGTAAACCCAACACTACTCAACAGTGTATAACACAGCAATTCATGTGAAGTCCACCTACCATTAGATCTAACCACCCCAGTGTTAAACAGCTCAAATTATTCTTCCCAGATACAGCATAGATCAGATAACAATTATTTTTAAATTGTGTCGAGCTGTCATGACTTAAAACAACAACCGTTTCTCTCCTCACAGATACTGTCAGACCTGTTGCCTATTTCCAGTATTTTCCGTTTTTAATTCTAATTGTACAGTTTAGCTTTTTGAGACTTCAAACAGAAGCATGTTTATTGCATGTAAACTGCAAATAAATCAAATAATCTCACCTTAAAGTCGGGATCGAATGCATAAATGTCACGTTTTTTATTATGGGTATAACAGAGGTCATAACGGCAGACAGCATCGGGCCGTGGGTAGCACAAGCACTCTTTAAGAAGGGACTTCAACAGTTCCTAGGTTAAAATAGATTGCAATAATTCAGAGCAGAAAATTAAACCAAACAAAAATCATTGTAAATTTTTAATGTCCAAAAAGAATTAATAAATTCTTGAATAAAGAACTTCTCAAAAGGGTTGGAATGAGCATCTCATCAACACTGCAGATATCAATAACTTGTGCTCAAATGTGCCAAATCAGCAGCTTATTCAGAATAGTCATGAGTCGAATGTGTTCATACTGCCTTCTACTCTGTAGAAGCAAATGCATTTTAATTTATTCCAGTTGTGACAAATAGTAATCCATTTTTAAACATGTTATTTATTCTTTAATGGGAAATGGGCATCACTATTCAGGTCTGTGTTTGTTGATTATCCTTAACTTTTCAGATATGAGCTTTGCTCATCCATATCAGAAGGCAATGAAGAGTTAATCTCTTTGTCATGGGGTCTGAAGCTACATACAGACAAGATCAGAAAATTTACTGTTCTTCAACAGAAACATCTTTAACTGACCCCAAAAGGGTAGCCAATAGTTAGTGAGCTTCTTGAATCTTTCAAATCTAGATTTTACTAAACAAAATAATTTATTTAAATTTGAACAGCTACCATGACAGGATCGAACACGACCTGGTTTATTGGTCCAGTAACATTGCAATTACATCACTGTCTCCTCCATTATGTCTCCATCTAACTTGTTTTTCATCTCTCTCATTAATATTTTGTTCCAAAGGATGTGAAACATCCTAATTTCTGATTGTAATCTTAAATAATGTCAGGGACTTTACAATCGATTTCAGACTCACTGCAGTCTTGATCACTGTCCAATGCCCTCCAATCACCTTCCCTAATAACACAATTGGCAATGTGTCACCAAACAATATAAAACGTAAATGCCTACATGTTTCAATTGCAATTACTATTCATAATCTATTCCAATTTTTTGCATCAACATGCATTTGTCTTCTCCACTTCTGTATGCACTGCTCTTACTTTCATTAGTTTACTCATCTTCTAATAAATTCAAAGCTGTGTTACTTTCTATGTTCAATTAACAATTACCCTCTCCTCCTCATATTGGCTTCCAGTTTTTCAATACCTTAAATTTATCCATTGGCTGGGCCATTGCAGCAGAAAAAATAATAGCCATATCCCCAGTCATGCTTTATGGCAAGCTGCCATCAGCAAAACAAAAAATCACAAGGTTACCCATGTCTGCAATACAAGCAAGGAAAATCTCCCAAGTTGACACGAATCAGTCTGGCATTCTTTCCATGCAGAATCAGGAGGCTGGAGACTTGGCTTAAATAGTGACAGCCCCATCAAGGTTTATTGTGTGGGTTGGGCAGTACTTTATTTTCTATTCCTGGTTCAAAAAGTTACTTCTGATAATTCAGGATTCGGAAGCAAAAATATTTCCACTGAAATCAAGAACTCATAAGACACTGTCCATATAGTGGAAATTTGCAGACCAGTCCCTAAAAAGGTAACACAGTGTCCTCATTAATATATGCAAGGTTCTCAATGCTTCATTTGAGTGGCTGGTTGCAACAAATATTGGCCCAATAAACCTAACAGTGGCTGAACACAAACTCGGACTGGATACAGCCATCTCAATTCTAAGTCTGTTACTGTAACCTGCATGAGGAATAGACACAATGCGTATCAATTTCTAGCTCATTCTGGCAAGTCTCAAACAAACCTCAGAGTGCACTCTCCCCACAAAAGACAAAAGAAATGATAAACACATCATCTTTATGTTAATATGATGTGATTAATATGAATTAAAGAAAAACAATCTTCCAACGCATCTTGATCTTGAGGTGTTTAATAAGGATCAAAATTTCAAATGCAGCTTGCAAAAATGTGTTTGTGAATAGATATGCACCAAAAATAAATTCAATAAAGTCTTGAATGAGAAATTTCTTCCACAAAGGATGCAAATAAGTAACTCATCAGTATTGCAAGAACGCAAGTACTGCTCAAGTGTGCCAATTCAGTATCCAGCTGCTTACACAGAATACTCATGAGTCAAACATTTTAACGCTGTCTTGTATTATGTGTAAAAGTATTTTAAAAAATCATTTAATGTTTCCGGTGTCTCCATCTGAACTGATTTTCATCTCTATCCATACCATTTTTCCCCAAATTCTTTTGAATTACCATTATAAAATATTAGAACCAGAATTTATGTTAGGGGTGATAGCAGGGCTTTTAAGATTGGTTTCAGACTCTCTGGGGTCCTTGCTGCAATCCAATGCACTCTGATTACCCAAACTAACAATGCGATTGGCAAAGCATTCCAACTGCCTGTAAAACACAAGAATATATTCCATTATATTCTTTGTGAAGGTATGCTGCTGTCCCCTTTGTTGCACAATCCACTTCATTTCCAGCTTTGTCACTTTCCACTTTCTTGGTGCCTGATTCACCATTCATTATGAACATGGTTGATCTGACTGTAGTCTCAAATCCAGTTTCCTTCCTGTCCCCTGTAACTATTACTTCCTTTGCAAATTGAAGATGTTTAACTTGGCCTTGAGTATATTCACTGACCACTGTTCGCTATTCTCTGTTGTTGCACCACCTGAAGTCTGTATTTATCTGAAATACCTTCTTGGTGTTCAGTGTTCCTTTTACCTCGTTTGCCACCACTGGCAGCCAAGAGTTCATCCATATAGGCCCTTGAACTGGAAATTCCTTTCTGTATCTCTCTGCCTTTTGGTATTACAGAACTGCCTAAAAAATGGACCTCTTCAGCAAAGTTTTTGGATATTCTTTCCAAAATTTCCATCTTAATGAGTTGAGTTGATGTCTATTTTATGTAGATCGCAGGAATTTCTCCATGTTAAAAACTATAAATACAGCTTTTTGTAAATACGGAGTGAATCTGAGTGAATCCACTTGTCAATGTCTCACGTTACTTTTTCTTGCTTCTGAATTCCAAATCAGTAAGGCAAATATTTAACTCCCATCTCCTTTTCAAACGAGCAACTAAAAATAAGGTACAGCCTATTCTGAGTAAAGTTAAACATCAGCCTACACCAAGCCAAACAGCCAGACATGTTTATCAGTAAATCTTCCCAGAACATCTATGACAATGCATCTTATTTTGTAAGGCCACATTTAGCTCAGTGTCTCTTGACAGTGTCAACACCTGCAATTCAAATTCATAGATAAGTCAATTTCTAATTTTTCTTTTTTAACCGGCTTTTCAATTTGAAAGCGGATCTTTATTTGATAGTCTCCTACTAAACAGAGCCATTATCATCCAAATTCTTAGTTTGTAATTTCTCCTATATCGGGTATTTCATGCTCAACAAAATGATACAGCAAAATTGGAAATTTATTTTAAAATAATAGTGATCCAAGTTATACACTTCAGGACAGTTTTACGACAGAAGATCTCATGGTTCGGTTTGTTCAAATGATCAGCACCAAATTACTTGAAGAGGAAAATGCACAACAGTATTTCTTACTTTCAGTACCCCATCCCTGGTTTCTTCAATTACTGTATCTGTGCCTGGCCACATTCGAAGTCCTGGGACTAAATTACTCTCGACCAGTGTAAGAGACTTCTCTAAAGTTGATCTCGCTTCTTTATACCTAGAAGGAAGAAATGCAATTTTAAAATTTTCTCCTCACATTTTGAATAATTGTTAGTTTAATGACAGGATAGATTTCTAGTAAGCAGCTATCAGTCAAACATAATTCTGACATTTTCCAATTATACTGACCAGAGAAACCTGCCAAACAGAAATAGCTGTATCAGCTAGGAATCTGGTTTGCCTATTTCTCAAATTCAGATACGAACTGATACAGTTGTTTGGCAAACCTCAGCAACTAAAGAGAAATTCCAATACCTTAATCTCAAAATTTGAAAACAAATGCACTCACCTTTGTCATTTTCTCACACAGTAGTACAAAAGATGAACTACAAAAGGGAACATGTTACACATTTGAAACTGAAACATAAACTGGCTTCATGCAACAATTAATCGAACAGTACATTCCAATATTCATTTACAGAACAGCTGCAACTGTACAATGAATGCATGTTAGATGGCAATCCATTGCATAAAAGATAATGTGTAATAGATAATCATTCTCAATATTTAGAAACAAATAATTCCATAATGTATGAAAGCCAATAGATGATTATGGGGTGTAGAGCTGGATGAACACAGCAGGCCAAGCAGCATCAGAGGAGCAGGAAGGCTGACATTTCGGGCCTAGACCCTTCTTCAGAAA